GAATCGCGAAATTATCAGTTATTTGTATTCACGTTTTCAATAATGGACACAAACTGACAGAAAACTCGACATTACAATGCGGGGTCCCAGCTTGTCAAAACTATGGGGATTTCGCGATAACTCACGGAACAATATTATCATTTGCTATCGGTTGGTCGGCGACAGATTAAAGATGATTCGACAAATTGGATTCGTTTCCAATTATGTGTTGTCTCTTTCGAACATAATATTAAAAGCCGTATTTGTGCACGGCCTCCGATTTGACATTTGGTTAATCTCAATATCTCCAATAATGACGTGTACGGGTATAGGAACGTTAAAAATGTATTCGGTATACTAGTATATTTCCCGAGTTGAATAAAACCTTGTTTGTATTCGCACATAAGCGGGCACAAAACGAGTGTACGTGAAGTAGCGGGGAAATTGACATCGTATGGCTCTGTTTGTCTGACCTGAAAACATACAAGGTGTTGCCGTATACAGTTGTGGGTTTCTAGTTTGTTGATGTCCGATATTCTTTGAACCTGATCGCAGTCCCCACAATGTATTTCAGGACAGTGTTCAAATTAGGGTCACGTGGCTTTGTTTTGTATTTAATAATGTTATGTTGATGTTGTCGCGGTTGGTGTCAACATTGATGCTCTGAACCCTGGAACGATGTCAGCGCTTTCACCATAGTTGATCGGAATAGTGTAGATTTAGTGAAAGCGGCACAATGTGAATGAAATGGAGTCGGATGCGCATACATGTATACGAGACACCGCGAATGTGGTGTCAATTTATGTTGGTTCCATTAAAAGTGGCAAGACAATTTGGGTGTGTTCATGCTTATATGAATATTCAAACTCGTATAAAAAAAGAAAAGAAAAAAAAGACATGATCATGACCCGCAACAACATACCTTACAATACCGGCGATTTGCAATGATATAATGGACACCGTAATCGTAGTGTGACAGAATATACTCACGTTCTTGCTGTCGCTATGTCCGGCTCGATTCACTTGTTGTACGCAGTGGGCTGATTGACGCAACTACGAACCGAAAACGCTCGACGTCAGCTTCGGAGTTTCATTTCACGATTAAGTCGAAAATTAATATTAGCGGCAAGGAGATACAGAATTTAGGGATCGTCGAGACTTATTTCCACGTCGTCGGATTTATTTTTTTTATTAAAAACTCATCTCGGCCGGTGTGATGGAAACGCTGCGGCTATACATTTTTGTACGTCACATGCCCAGCTGTTGCCAGCTAATTTGCATAACAAATGTGTTAGCTCATTTGCATATAGCGTCCGTCATCATTGAACGCGGCTGACACGTTCGATTAGGCCAGTGAATACTAGTAGTGGTAAAGGAAAACACTGATTTGATAATTGTGTTCTTTTAACACTTGTGCTAATATGGGATGTAACGTACTGAACGAGTGGAAGGATAAGTTAGTCCTTATTATTAAATTATTGTTACCATGGTGACAACAATTTAGTTTTTTCACATTTTTGTGGTTCTTAAAACTGTTTTTTTATATTACACTCAGAGAACAGAGAATAAATAAATGAATAAATGAATAAATAAAGTAAAGAAATAAATACATATTCCGTTGTTAATACATCCATCATATTTTCGTTATGTTTTATGAACCATGTCAACTGTAACAACGTGTAAACGCATTATCTCTGTTGAACAAAAACAAGGACTAATGTAAATGCAATAATTATTCACTGGGTTTTAATTTCGCTATTTTCGCTGATCGCTGATTTCGCTAAAATCTGCTAAATTAAATCTACGTGAACGTAAAAAATAACAATACTAGTAAACCTCATTGTTTTCTTGTCAAATTTGTGAAATTAAAACACAGTGATATGCTCAGAACATCAACATAGTGAAATTAAGGTAGCGAGACAATTATTTGCATACTTGTTTTCATCTTCTAATTGTGACTAAATGACTACAAAAAGACCCAGTAAAGTATATATTTTTGGAATCGTCAGACTCCAAGCTTTTCACAAGTCTGTTTTATATGCCAGTATCTGTATTCTACGACGGGCTACTCAATCAAAGGTAAAAAATTACTTTTCTGTAAAAAGTAAATGATTTTCTAGTTTATCACTTTAAAACATGATTGTGTCGTTTTCACTAATTTAGGTATTGTTGATTTATTGTTTTTATCGTGTTTTTTTAAATACAGAAACCTTCTTATTTACATTATAATAATTGTTAGTATTACGTATTATCACATATTAATGCATTTAATATCACCCTACTATTAATGTAACATTATTTGTTATAAATGAGCGAATTTATTTAATCATTTGTGATTATTGAAATAATCCATATAATATTTTCTTTATTAATTTATAAATAACCCGAGGAATAATTGTAATTAAAACCTACGTCATACATAAATAATTACACATTTCCGTCGATATGATAAATATACTTCTCGTAAACAATCGTTCTTCCCATCTGTAAACAATGGAACACACGTAACGTGTTGTTTTTCGTGGCTCTGTACACGCCGGTCAATTAATTATTAACACACATACATTAGCGGGAAAAAATATGTTTGAAAAAGAAGTGACACATTGTTTGAGACACTGGTCCAAATACAGTAAGTATTTCGTCTTATGAAAATAATTGAGCGGTCACGTAGTTAAGTAATCTTTTAGTAAAAGCCATATTTACCATATTCATGTTCAACATGTTTAAAAAAAATATTACAAGGGTAATGCAAAATTGTTTTAACTTTGACATTTGAAACGTTAAACATGCCACATTTACATCTAAGTTAACGAATTCCGTTTTTTTTTTTGTTTTGTTTTTTCGAATTTCGATTTGGTCTGATGTTTGCAAGTAATGAAATTATTCCTATTGCGAGTAAAAACTGTCATAGTAAAAACTACTACTAAGTCATTTGCCAATAAACAAATGCAAATGG